AGTTCTACATATCTGTAAATGTGTAATGTGCAAGTCCAACCCACATATACACTCTTAAATATTTGTTAATCTTGTTCATTACTGAAACAAAAATTCTTCATAATTTAGTCCATCACCATTATGTGAATTCTATCTCTGCATTTTTGTCACCTCAGAGTTTTTGTATCGCATTTATTGAAAACCATCCATCTGTGCTGGCCAAATTCAATACAGATAGATATTTTCAACTGTAACTACATTTGTAGAGAGTAGTATAGAGAATAAACATAGATGTTCCCAGAATGATAGCTTGCCTAAATCCAGAAACTTAAATGTAGAGTGGAAAAAATCCCCAATCTCAATAATTCAGAGTTTTTTGTTTGTTTGTTTAGAAATAGCTTTTATTTTATAAAGCTGAAGTTTGGTCTGTAAACTTTTTAATCACACTTATAAAAAAGAGGAGGGGAACTGAAAATGTTTCTTATATTTCATAGCTACACAAAGATTATATTTATAATATACATATATATTCATATTTATAATTTGAAGATCATAAAGATAAAACTTGAGGAACTGGAGCAAGGTTCATATTTCAGACACTTGTTCGTGTCCTACAAAGAGCGTCTCTTGACAGAAAGGATTCACAAGAACCATGCCAGTGTCCCTGTAATCCCCATTGGCTGGAGAACGGGGCTCAGAAAGGTGGTCCTAGAAAATATTGAGGAGAGGGAGAGAAAAAAAGATATTTCATCACATATTAACTCTCATAAAATGGAATGTGTTATATTCATTACTGCCACACAAATGGATTGTTTTATATAAGGCACTATATAATTAAGATTTTTATGTAGATTAGCTGATTCTAAACTAATGCCCTCCAAGTAGAACTTTCTCATAACCAGGTTGCTTGGGATAAAGGTAAATGTATGTAACTGACCCACAACTGAAGGGCTCTATTGCTTTGAAAGTCTTGGAAGTTTTCCATCTGTAAAATGACGCTCCATCAGTTGTGTCTAAAATTTCATGATTCAGTTTAAAAACATAAACAATTGGAGCTAGAGATACAAACTAAGACTTTTAATCTCCCACCATCTAGAAGATCAAATAAATGCAAATCACCTCATGCAAGATTTACTTTTATTCACCTTTACTGTATTATTTGCCAAAATTATACATCACAACTTCGCAAGCAAATCCAGTATTTGAAAAATAGTAATAACATTTAATTTTAACAAGTTAGCAGAAACTAACAAGCTACTGTATATGCAAATGTTAAAAAAAGAAGTCTTCAGGAAACATAGCTACATGGTAGTTTAAATCTATGACAAATTTTTCTTTGTCTTTTCTAGCATTGACAAAAGCCAACATTTTATATACCATAAATGCTAACTACAGCATAGTATTGCCACTTTCAGGTCTTTAGAAAAAAATGTAGTTTCTTTATACCATTGATAAAGGCATGGAAGGATAGGAATTGCAAGATGCAACTTTTCCATAATATTACTATCATGATGGAAACTAACTGCCAGCTATGCTCTCTGTTAAAATGTCATGGAATCTTCCTGAATTTTCTAGCCACTAAGGGAAAAATATTCAGCAGAATGTTTACCAACAACCAAGCTCAGTTGAAAAATGAAAGATCCAGTTGAGAAGATTGTGATATAGAAATAAGTGCTTTCAGATCAGGCTGTCCTGTTACATTCATCAGTACACATCTCTCATTTGCATCTCTCCCACATTTTCCCATTTTCTTTTTTCTTTCTTTTTTAACTATCCCACTCTTGAGTGTTATGGAAGAAAAATGCTATAGCTATGTAATATCTTAATAATAAGTGTCAACCATATGGAAACCTCAACTGATCCTGTCATTAATGGACTGCATAAAAACAAGCATAAGATGAGCCTGACTGAACGCAAAAGAGCAAATGATGAACTAAGAAACTGAAGTTGAACAAAAGGCAGATAGAAAATAAAGAACTTTAATCAAAAAGAAATAAAGTGAAATTAGAAAGAACAGGTTAAGTTATGGCACAGTGCAGAAACCAGGTGGGCAACGAGGGATAAGTCAAGCAAGTGGGGATAAGAGAAAGGAGTGGGGCTTAAAAGCAGGAACTTGGGAAATGATAGGTTTTGGAGTTATATAACAAAAACTACTGATGATAAAGAGTAATTGAATCTAGGAGGAGGAGGAAAGTGTATGAACAGGAATTCAAGGGATAATGATCTAAGATGATTATTTTGTCTTTAAAGAACTGTGTGAAAATAAACATTTCTCCTGGTTTTCATCCCCACAGGAAGAAAACAGTGGGATATACATTAATCTGAACCTCCCCAACATGGCTTTGCCAACAGGATTCTAATCTCACCTCAGATGTTTCAAAGGATTGTATTTCTCTTGGCAATTCTACTGCATGCTTGTTGAAGTAGTCCATAGTGATTGCATTGTTCCAATAACTCAGGTTGTTTTCTGGATTTGATGTCTTCTTTTTTCGTCGCATGCAGCACACAGTTAATAGCACAGCTGTCAATACAAACATGTTGGGATTAGGTTGTGAATAAAGGGGACTGATTGTTGGTATGAAACGTCTAGAGCCTTCTACTCTGTCATTACTGGGCTCTTTCAAACCTCATCCCTAACATGCTGCAGCAACTTGATGATGAGATGCATCGCCTTTGGTGGCTTCCATTTTAGCTTATATTAACTGATTTAGAGATGGTTTTATTATAAAACTAGACAATCCATGACCCACTGAATCATCCTTTCAAAGTTATTTCCTTACGTAAAAAGAGAATATTTAAAATAAATTATTTATATTACAATAGCATTTATATTATATCTCCACTATCTGTACTTATTTCAGGACTGTCTGTGGGGTTCAAGAACAAGTCTATAAAAGAGACACATCCATCACCAGAAATTTCATGACATTATGGCTGCAACTATTCATAAACACCTACAAATAAGTTCAACTCAATGGGATAGGCTTTTAGAAGACTGTACCTACAATGTGTATATGGTAGTGCTAAATAACATGCAACCCTCCAGATTTTTTTTATCAGCTGCCAGTATGAAGGACTGTGGGTCTTGTAACTCAGAGCACCAATTTGCCTACATACTATTTATATTTCTGAGAAAAAATTAATGAAGCAGTTATTCAACTTTTTTGTGCCTTCGAATCAGCACTGACTCCTGGCAACTTGTCTTTCAGTTTTTAGATTTCAGAATTGATTTGCTGTGTTCCTAGGACTGAGAGAATAACTAGCCCAAGGTCACTCAGTTAGCTTTGTTCCTAAGACTGAACTAGAAATCATAGTCTCCAGTTCCCAGCCTGGTGCCTTACCCAGTACACCAAATAGGTTCTCATGTTTTAAAATGAAAATCAACCACTTGATGTTACAAGTATGAATAAACAGATTAGTAGAGAATGGTATTTAAGCCTTTTCCCTTCATTCCAGTTTTCAGATCAACTTTCCTCCTCCAAGTGAATTTTGAGTACAAAAATGAGCAAAGAAAAATATTAAGCTGTTTCTCCTTTTCAGCAGTTCTCCTTGGCTTTTTCCCAGAAATACGTTTTTTTCTTGAGGGAGGCTACTTAAATGATTTGCTATAATATTTAGTTCAGTCTAAATATTGGTCTTCAGGACTGTTGGTCTTCAGAAATGTTGATTTTCAAGTCCTAAATCCCCAAGATTTATAATCCTTTAACTAACACACAAGAGTAAAGATTTTAAACTGGAATGACTAATAATGTAAATATAATTTACATTATATTTCGCAACATATTGTCTTCTCAGTTAAAATTAGCTGTGAGACAGTCTGCAAGTATAACAGCTTTGATTTGGATCACTTGAGAATGGCAGCAATTTTATCAAACCTAGACACAATAATTTTGTTGGCCACTCTTATTTATATTGGGATAACTGCTATTTTTATTGGAAACTTCCCTCACCACTTGCTAATTGAATAGTTATTATCAGGGCTTTGTCATAGAACGTATTGGAATGGACTTCTGGCACCTTTTTTGATGGATTTTCCAGAGTTGCATTCTTTTCCTATTGTTGCCCTTCCTATCCTCGTTTGTTTTTGAAAATGCCCTGTTGGCAGTACTGTGTGAGCAGGGTCCCCTCTGGCGCTGTCTGACTTCTCTAGGAGGAGCCATGAAGCACTGGAGCACCACAGCTTGATTGGCTGGGTCGGATCATGTGGTGTGGAAGCCAATGGTGGCAGTGAGACACATATAAACATGGAGGGCATCTTTCACAAGAGGTTGAGTGAGCCTTTTGCCTTCCCTTACAGAAGGTGGGGTGTGAGGTTAAAAAGAGGCAAAGTGAGAGGAAAGAAAAGTGGCTAGTGTGGGAGCTTGCCCAACAGCGAAACTTTGCTGTTTCGGTTCCTTGGGTAGTTCAAAGGCTGGGAGGTCTACGAAAATCTCTTTTTAGTCTTTTATACTTTATATTCAAACTGAAAAGGGGAAGGATAAGAATAAAACCAATGTCTTGTGATTTGGAGGTTTTATTAATAATAATATATATTCATTATGTATTGGTCAGATGTAAAGGCAGACCTACAGTATGAGGTTTAATCAGATCTATTTATTAAATTGGATTTAACTTAAAGGTAAATTAAAAGTAATCTGTTCACTGACAAAATTTCAGCCTTAATTTGTTTCAAGTCAATATCCATATTAAACTCCAAATGTAAATTTTTCTACCTTGTTTGACAACTTAAAAATAATTCAATCTTTTACAAGCAACCAAATTTTGTTTTATTGGGCCAATTTCATTCCACATAGAAAGCTGACATTTCCACTCATTAAACTAAATGGGTGTGCCAGTGGTAAATGTCCCAAAAGATTAACAAAATGCCTTCTTGTAATTTAAAACCACACAATGCATGGTAATACTTACTAGTATTAACTTACCTTGAACAAAATCCCAATCTTTTAGATACACTAAAAACTGAAGGGTTTTACAAATAAACTTTGTAGGGTAGGCAAGATGGCTTGTATGACGTGTGGCACTTTTTTTTTTTTTTTACAAAAAACCACTAGTTATTATAGTAAATCTCCAAAATGATATTGTAGTCTCCATTTAAAGATATTTATAGGAAGAGGAAGGATTTCTTCTCCAGAGCACTGATTTCATTAACTCTTACCAATTAGATGCTTCCTGTAATATTCAACTAAAATCTATCCTCCTGCAACTGAAAACAAATTAGATGGCACCCTCTGAAACAAAATACCAGATTTGATAAAGCAAGGCATTCATACAGTCTATGAGGCAGTGATTAGGCTAGGAAGAAGAGGAATATGAATTAAGATAACAACATCTTTTATAAGAAACAACTTTCTGAAAGAATTATTGAAGCTCTCTTTCATGTTTGTTAAGACACACATCTACATTTGGTTATTGATGCATATGTAGATCACAAAAAGCCCCTGGACCAAAATACTGGATAATTCTTCATCAAAAAACACTGTTGAAACATGGAAGGCTGCAGCTGTTTCTGCAAAAGCCAGTTAAGAGGAAACCAATTTCCTTTCCAATTTATATTCCATAATTTTTCCAAGAGTTCAAGATGGCTTACAGGTGATCCTGCTCTCATAACATGGCTGGAAAATTTGAAAACTTCAAAGACAAATTGCTGGAAACAGCTAATTTCCCTAGTTCCACTATACCAGGGGTAGGCAACCTTGGCTCTTTTATGACTCGTGGACTTCAGCTCCCAGAATTCCTGAGCCAGCATGGCTGGCTCAGGAATTCTGGAAGTTGAAGTCCACGAGTCATAAAAGAGCCAAGGTTGCCTACCTCTGCACTATACTATTAGGAAATGGAGTATTATGAAGATTTATCCTCCTACCCAACCTTAACAGTGGCACCAAACTGAATCTTCAAACCATTTGAGAAGTTCAAGTTCATATTGCATATCCTTGAACAGACATATAAATTTTTAGCTTATCCATTATAAATAATTTTACATATCTGTTGTGAGACGTTTGAGGGGGAACAATGTTGTGATTTTAGCAGTCTCATTCTAGTGGCTGCTGGATGATTTCTACCTATCTCTCCTTTGTATCCTGAAGGTGGCAGCAGTTATCTTAATATGCAACAGGATTGTCAGGTGATTGGCAGTGAATCAAAGGGTACTAGCAGCAACTCCTCCCCAAAAATCAAATTTTCAAGAAAATAAAGCAATTTGTTCGTCTATCAGATTAAGTGGGTTCTTCATATGATATTATAAGAAAAATTGCTTTTTTGTGGTCATAACTGATATGCAATACATTCATTTTATCTTCAAAGATTACAAAAAAGCAGTAAGGGGAAAAATATGCTGGGATAATGCCTGTTTTGTAGTATTATTCTTCCTTGATGCCATGAATGAATCTTAAGTGAAGCAGTTCATTGATGTTACTGTATTGTTAACCTTGAAGCTTAATATGTATTTACCAGGATCTGAGTTAATTTTATTGAACTGAGTTGTGGTTATTCTGTTACTGATTTTTGTTTGTATGATTATTATTGATATAATTATATAATAATTATATTAAAATGGATTGGCACACTGAGTGCCATACCAAAAAATCCTGGACAGCAGTTAGAAAACCTGCACATTAACAAAATTTTCATCTGTCAATTGCAAAAAAGCCACACTGCTTGGATTCACACATACACTACTACAGTAATAAATTATGATGCCCTAGATTCTTGGAAAGAACTTGATGTGTAGGAATGCTTCTTTTCTGTGCCCCGGAAGTAAAAGTGGTGTTTGGGGATGTGAGGAGGATTTTTTTTTTTAAATAGCACTCCACTGATGGAATGTCTTTTTTCTAAAGCCAAGCTAGTATCAATATAGTTTTGGGCAATATTTTTTGTTGATTGTCTTCCACTCTGAAATCTGCTGATATAGGTGATTTTTATTGAAATAAATATGCAGTATGAAATGTTTTTCACATCTAAGCTTCAGGAATAGCTGTGCTCTGAAGGAGAAACGACGCATATCCCAATATGTTCTGCATTTATACATTCTGCATCCACCAGATGGCACTATGACTGAGAAAAAAGATGGTTTTAAATTCATATAGCATCCAGCTGGCATGTAATAGATTTCTTTGAATAGAAATGATAGTTGACATCTATAAACAAGTAACACATATATATTATTCTAGTAAATACATATTATTCTATGTGCACATTGATAGAAAATATTTGAGGAACCTCTGAAATTTGATCAAAATTTATTACTGGTTTAATGACAATCCTTTAGGAGCATGATCCACCATTATAATAAATTCACTACTGGTCCACCATTATAATAAATTTATTATAATGATCCACCATAATAATAAATTCACTATTTCAATAATGATTACTAACTGTTGCTTTATGTTTTATCTTGATTTGTCTTTTTAAATTAATTTTTCTTAAATGATTACTTTGAGCCCCTTTCTTATAAAAAAACAAACAAGAAATTAAATTCAAATCAGACCTATTCAGAACTTAGTTGCAAAAGACATATGGATGGTTTTCTGGAAAAGGTCATTTATTTGATTTGAAACAACTAATCAGTGAAATGAGGCATATACATTTTATACTGTTCCAATAATTCCAGTTTCAATTCTCACCCACTACACAGAGGTTTTGATTTTTTTAAAAAAAAATATTTTAACCAACATATAATTTATAGATTTTTAGTATGGAAATTTCATAATGCATTCTTCCAAAAGCAAATTGTCAGTGACAGTATCCATAACCTGCTCATTACATGCCATGTTTTTCATGAAATGGTAACTGAGTATTAATGACTATTGATATGAAAAAGTGGTAACTCCAAGAAGACAGCACAAAGTTAAACAGCCTAGCATATAATTTTATTTGCACACAACCAAGATGTGATTTTAAAAAAACCTAAAGTAGTAATAATATGGATATATTTTAATACAATCACTTACACTGAAGGATAGTCTTGGTATTACCTGAGGAACTTTTTAATACAACTTACCACCATTAAAGAAACTGCCATATAATAAAGTAAATTGATTCATCTAGCTCAGTATTAACTATACTGAACCTTAGTGGCTCAGAGGTTCCCAGAGATTCAAATAATGTCTTCCAGTTCTACCTAGAAATGTTGTAGATCTTCTATATGAGGCTTGAGAACTTCTGCATATAAAAAAAATTAATAAATTAGGTGCTCTACCACTGACATGTTCTCTTCCAATTATGGGACTTCGAGAAGGTGTTTCAAATGCCAAGTTGTTCTTTTGCTTATCCCCACACTTCATAAACTGTATACTATCACAGTACTCCAGAACAGTGCAGCAAATGCATAGTGACAGTGTAGCATATTTTTCTACTTAATAAACAGAACTGTGAGTTTGCTGGGAGAGAGAGAATGGCATGAATCAATACAATTTGGGGACCTCTGGCTTATCTGTTTTGGCTACTATTACTGATAAACGTAAATACTCTTGTAAAAGATGGTGTATAAACAGAACAGATATCAGAACTACATTGTCTCTCTCTCATGCAAAGTCTGGTTGCTGTTCTGATGAAAGAGGTGTCATCAAAAATACTGAAATCTCAGCAGACTTTTTAAGAGAGTTGCAGAATACACTAACTTAAAATTGAAATATCGATGATGCAAGTAACTTCACTGCCAATTTCTTAATCTTCTCTGATGGAATAGCTACTGGCTATAATTAGCTTCAGTTAAGTAATAATATCAAAAATGAATTAGACCAATTGTGTTTCACAATTATTAAGGTTTCCCAATTAAAGCTCTTTTCTCAAGAACTTTATAATGCAGACATTGGGAAAGCGGCATCAGAGGCATTATACAGGTGAGGTCTCATTTCCAGATAAAAGTGGGAACTTTTCATGGCCAAATTATGAAAGGATAATGGATTACTGAACTGCTGTGCTTTCTCAACTGATCAAAATTATTTGCTGAAAAAAAATTGGATGCTCCTGGGTTACATGCACCCTAATACAAACACAAAAAATATGAGAGATCAAAACACAGGCTAATTCTGCCATGTCCCCAACAGTGCATAAGTGTACAAATACAAGGATGTTGAAATAACTTTGGATGATTATTAACTATATGGGAGTCATATTATAAAGATCAATGAAACTTTATAATTAGGTTGTTCAATTTTTTTCTTCATTATCAATATTTAATACCTGTTATATCCAACAGGGCATAAATTTATAGAGAAGCATTCAACTTACAGCATGAGGATACAGGTACACTGATAGCTAAGATGATCCATGCTATATCCACTTTGCTGAGACAAATAGTTGCTCTGTACTGGGACTTGTCTCTTTCTGTGACATGAGAAACATTTCCTGGGACATCAGGCTTTCTGGTACCAGCAGGTACCAGTCTGTTTAGGAAATTCTCTGTTGCTGTTGAAGTGGAACTTGGCAGCCACGTTGAGGATTCCATAGACAATGTACTGCTTGGCAAGGTAGCATTATGTCTAGAGGGATGCAGTGTGGTAGCTGGTTCCTCAGTAGAGCCTCCTGTTGTATATAAGGAGGAAAGACTGGCATCAACATCATTTTGACCAGGGTGTCCAAAGTCTACTTCTGTTGTTGTTGTCCCAGGACCAGAAAAAATGGGTACTTGATTTGTACTCTGACTTGAATTTATCCATGAGTTGTTTTTTCCCAGTATATCCAGTATGTCATAACGTGTGGGTTTAAAAGGCACAGTCACCATTTCAGTAACAGTTGATGGACCAATTGTTGGGGTAATGAGACTAATCTCCTGTGTAATCAGTTCTGATGACCTCCCCTTCTCTGTTTCATTAAGGCCTTCCAAGGTATGAATAGAATCACTTGAGTCTGTTGTGGTTCCCTGTAAAGTATTTTGATGACTGGTATGAACTGGAGGCTGGGTCTGAAATGGATATTCTGGGGGCCAATTTTCTGTGGTAGCAGAAGAATACAATTCTGTCTTTAGATAAGGTTGTGTAAATGCTATGAAATTGCCTTGGGCACCCAGAAAGATTTTTTGTTTATTAAGTGATTTCCTGGACAACAAAGCACTCTGGTTGTATAAATGATAAGATTCTGTGTTGCCAACAAAATGGCTGCTGCTTAATTTCTTCTGGCCAACAGAAGGAACAGAAGTCTCTGCTAAACTACTGGAATCAGCATTTGCAAGAGTTGTTGTGGGTAAAGATTTGGTTGTGTGATGGCCTCCAACTCCTGGAGTTGTCTCCATAGCTAAAATACTAATATTGTCCATCAGGAGGCTCTGAGATGACACAAGCTTGGGAGTTAGTACCTGAACAGCAAACACTAATTCTTCTGTTAGCACCAAGATCAATAGAACACCTAGAAAAAAATAAACAAAAACAAGAGACAATAATTAATGACATGGAAAATCTGAATGTCATCAAATTACAAGCCTGAAGTGCATGATACATATACAAAATTATATATCTACATAAAATACATATACCAATTTTATTATATAAATGATTCTGAATTTTAAAAGAAATATTATATTATAAAGAGAAATAAAATACCATGGTAGCATACTATAATAGGCCTGGAAGTCATGTTTTTGTCGAGATCATCTTTCTCAACTGGAGTTCTGTGGAATCCTAGCTTTTGTAAGAGAGATTGTAATTGGATTTTTTTTTAAAAAAATTTGCACAGTGCACAGTGCCAGTGCTTGCTATGGTGGGAATTTTTAGGTGCCATAACTCAGCAGCTAGACAGCTACTTTGTTGTTGTTATGTAATGTGTGGGTTAAAAGCCAATTGCATTGTGAAGTTTTCCTATTTTTTGCCATTTTTAATAGAGTTCCCTAAGACCTGAAAATTATTTCAAGATTTCCTCCAGAATAAAGGACTAAAACTCACAATACCCACCCCCCATTTGTAGCCTAGTGCCTTAACCACTACATCAAACTGGCTCTCTCTCTAAAAAAAAAAAAAAAAAGCAGAGTATTTAAAAAAATATTTAAAAAAAATAATGCATGTATTGAAAGAGTGTGAAATGTCCATTGGTCCAAGAGCCTCTTTGGGTTGAAAGTACTGAAAGTCAGTCCCTAAAATAGAGAAGGGCAGGGGCCAGTACCTTGATTCTGGGAAGCTTTCGGGATCTTAAAATCACTGTAATAAAGGTTGAATCTTATTTTTTTTTTTTAAAAAAAGGTCCAAATTATACTTATGGATGCAGCATTATTCTGAGTTACATATGACAGAGGCAGAAAAGGAAATACAAAACCATGATAAAAATCAGTGATAGTGAGATGGGCTGCATATAAATTTAACAATAATGATTCCTATTAACAGCTTACATTCTGTGACAATACCTTTAATGCCATCAAAAATCAATATTGGCTATTCCAGGTCCTTGGGAAAGACTCACTAGCTGAATAAAAACACCAAATCTAATCTGAAGTTCTGGCTGACTATGCGATGAACTATAATAATATTATTATTTATTGCTTATCCAAAAAAGCTATCTTGATAATATGAAAAACAGTATAGTAATAGTAATAGTAGTAAAGTTGGAAGGGACCTTGGAGGTCATCTAGTCCAACCCCCTGCTCGGGCAGGAAACCCTACACCATTTCGGACAAGTGGCTGTCCAGTCTCTTCTTAAAAACTTCCAGTGTTGGAGCATTTACTGCTTCTGGAGGCAAGCTGTTCCACTGATTAATTGTTCTCACTGTCAGGAAGTTTCTCCTTAGTTCTAGGTTGCTTCTCTCCTTGATTAGTTTCCACCCGTTGCTTCTTGTCCTGCCTTCAGGTGCTTTGGAAAATAGCTTAATTCCCTCTTCTTTATGGCAGCCCCTGAGATATTGGAATACTGCTATCATGTCCCCCCTTGTCCTTCTCTTCGTTAAACTAGACATACCCAATTCTAGCAACCGTTCCTTATATGTTTTAGCCTCCAGTCCCCTAATCATCTTTGTTGCTCTTCTCTGTACTCTTTCTAGAGTCTCAACATCTTTTTTACATCGTGGTGACCAAAACTGGATGCAGTATTCCAAGTGTGGCCTTACCAAGGCATTGAAGAGTGGTATTAATACTTCACGTGATCTTGATTCTATCCCTCTGTTAATGCAGCCTAGCACTGTGTTGGCCTTTTTGGCAGCTGCAGCACACTGCTGGCTCATATTTAAGTGATTGTCTACTAGGACTCCGAGGTCCCTCTCACAGTTACTACTATTGAGCATGGTGCCACCTATGCTGTACTTGTGCATTTGGTTTTTCTTGCCTAAATGTAGAACCTTGCTTTTTTCACCATTGAATTTCATTTTGTTAGTTAGTGCCCAGTGTTCAAGTCTGTCCAGATCCTTCTGTATCTTAAGCCTGTCTTCTGGAGTGTTGGCTATTCCTGTCAGCTTGGTGTTGTCTGCAAATTTGATGAGTTCCCCATCTATCCCTTCATCCAAATCGTTGATGAAGATGTTGAAGAGTACTGGGCCCAGAACAGAGCCCTGGGGCACCCCACTACACACTTCCCTCCATATAGATGCAGTTCCATTGAGGACCACTCGCTGAGTACGGCCGGTCAGCCAGCTACGGATCCATCTGGTGGTGGTTCTGTCTACCCCACATTTTTCTATCTTGTCAAGTAGTAGGTTGTGATCTACTTTATCAAATGCCTTACTGAAGTCCAAGTAAATTATGTCCACAGCATTCCTCTGATCCACTAATTTTGTCACTTGGTCAAAGAATGCAATAAGATTTGTCTGGCATGATCTATTTTTGACAAACCCATGTTGGCTTTTAGTAATGACTTTGTTTGCCTCTAGGTGTTCGTTGATTCGTTGTTTGATTATCTTTTCCAGGATCTTCCCAAGTATTGAGGTCAGGCTGATAGGTCTGTAATTTCCTGGATCCATTTTTTTTCCTTTTTTGAGGATGGGAACTACATCAGCTCTTTTCCAGTCCTCTGGTAGTTCCCCTGTGTTCCAGGATCTTTGAAAAATATAGTTCAGTGGCTCCGATATCACATCTGCCAGTTCCTTGAGAACTCTGGGGTGTAATCCATCTGGTCCTGGCGATTTGAATTCATCTAGGCTGGACAGGTGCTCACTAACCTTAGAAAATCTCTATTCAAGTTGCAAGAAACAGAAATAAGCTTATTAAAATCAAAGAACTGGAAAGAGCTATTAAAAATTACTTTAATGGCTCCTTCCAATTCTCTGATTCTAAGAAACTCATTTCTGTTTCCTGATTTATTTAATAAATAAATAAAGTCATTGTTAAATAAATAGATGATTAAAATAATTTACTCTATGTAAGAATCCAAATTAAAACATCCATGATAGCCTCTGCATTTCCAGCAAAGGGAACTTATCACCTTCTCTGGGTAACTGAGTCCTTTATCCAGCTCTTAACATTGGACTGTAATTTGTAACATGAATCCATTATCCCATAAGTGCACTTTGAATGAAAGAGAACAAGCCCCTGACTTTCTTGCACCTTAACTTGAGGGTGTTTCATTCAAGTCTCCTTGTGCAATTTGTTCCAAAATGGACACTTCTATCAATGGAAGTAATAGAATATCAGCATTATTATCGTGTCTGTTTGAAGGCCATGTTTGTTATTCACTAGAAACACCTCTGAGCTCCAATCCGCTGTTGGACAAAGTATCTCCTAAGAATGCCCAAGTGAGCGATAACTTTTCTTGGTTTGTATTATTTTACAGCATACAACAGATGGGAGAAAAGAACCCAGAGGTAAACATAGACTAAGGATTAGCTTAAGTTAAAGCCCATCCAGATGGCTCAAGCAAATGAATTGTGTCATGCATGACAGGGGAAACAAAAGGTGAGGGACCACATGGCTAAGAAAGAAAATTCTTTCACAGTGAGGAAATCAGTGACTGAGCATGAGTGCAAAACAAATTGGCAGAACTTCTTCTGGCTGAAAGTTTTCTAAGGTCAGATGCACAACCTTTTATATTGTACTTCCAATCATGATTTTTGCTGAGATTATGAAAGGGAAAAAATACTATACCTTCAAAATTGTAGGTAAATAATTTAATTCTGAGTTTTAATGGGCTATTATTTTGTCATCATTTTTTTTAAAACTAGATGTTTCCCCAAATTTGGTGGCTTCTTGATATACTTGTTCACATGACCCAAAGCTCCAAGTCAGAGGAGTAGGAGGAATGTTCTACAGAGCTTCTGCAGAACCACTGGCATCACAGTATAATGCCCTTTTAGGATGCCCTGGTTTAATACATTAACTCCTTCATGTTCTAGAAGTTAATGGCCACACAAACATTAAGCTTTTCTGTAGGAAACATATCTTTTCTACATTATTCAGAGGGATGGTGAATTTAACTGAAATTCTATGTATAACAGAAAAGCCAAAAATCTAGTATCTCCTTTGAGCTGGACTCCTGGTGACTACATATGTATATTTATATTGTTCTCTTGGCAATTATACACTGATGGATTTTTGTTTTTTAAAAATTCTAATTTAGGCTACCTCTGTGATAGATTAGACATGCGGAGAGTTTTCAGACTATTACTTTGTGTCAGCGTTACACATTCATATTGGCTGGCACACAGAACAACTTTTAATCAGAGCAGCAGTAATAATTTATTTATTTGTAACCCACCTTTATTATTTTTTTCAAATAACTTAAAAGTGGCAAATGTCTACCACACTTTCCTCTTCCATATTTCCCCACAACAATCCTGGCTTAAAGAAAATGACTGGCCCAAAGTCACTCGGCTGACTTTCATGGCTAAGATGTATAAAGCTTATTTTTGGTAAGAGCTTTGGGATAAGTGTCTTGGAAGTGAGTAGTTAGAGCTATGCCTAATACAAAGATTACAAATGGTGTCATTGAACTGTCTTCTTTGCTGAGCAAAGCTATTTTTCATTTTGATGGATATTGAAGGAGTCTCTTTAAATCTCAGGAAATAAAAGGAATGCTTCCTACTAAGTCTTTGTATTAAGTTTTAATCATCATATGAATTTCAGTTGAAAAAGTTACTTCCTATGTAGTCTTTTTCCGCCAAAGCAAAGAGCACTTTCTTTCACACCAAAATGATTTTCCTCAAGTACTCAGTCCTTCTATCACCATCAACTTTGGCTATGATACAAGATTTTTGTGGTCAAACCTGCTCAATTTTTACTTGGTTCCTTGAGCTAAGAAAGCAAAAGTAATTAGCATTCTTCAAATTAGAAAAACATATGCTACTGAAAGGAAGATTATGCAGAGGAGAAATGACCATGAAAATTATACCAGCTTGCAACTTCTATAGAAAGCAAACAAAACATTGACATATCTCAATGAATATTCTGATGTACTGCTTAATTTGCAGGAATTGACTTTCTTTTAAGTAGACATGT